CATCCATCCATCCATCATCCATCCATTCATTCATCCATCCATCATCCATCCATCCATATCCATCCATCCATCCATCCATCCATTCATCCATTCATCCATCCATCACCCATCCATCCTCATCCATCCATCCATCCATCCATCCATCCATCCATCCATCCATCCATTATCTTCTGCTTATTCCAAAGTCAGTTCTCAGGGGCAGCAGCTGAGCAGGGAGGTCCAGACATCTCCTTCCACCACCTCTTCCAGCTCTTCTGGGAGGACCCCATGTTCACAGGCAAACCGAAAGACATAGTCTTTCCAGCATGCCCTGGGTCTTCTCTGAGGTCTCCTCCCAGTCAGACACACCTGAAGCACCTCACAAGGAAGGCGCCCAGGAAGCATCTTTACAAAATGCCTGAACCAAATTAACTGGCTCCTTTCGATCTATGACTCGATTATCTACAACATGTAAGATAATAAACAGTTCCATGAACTACCCTTAAGAATGTTCTAAATATCCCTTTAACGTGTCAAAGCTTGTGGCTCACCTGTCAGGGTGCCCTCCTCCACTTGACCCTCCACTCCAGCTCCTTTACACTTCTGGACGAAGCCTTTCTGTTGCATCTTCTCCACCTTCCTCATGGGTGACTGGTCGATGACCTCATACATGGCCTCCAGCCTCACAGGGTAGGGGTACTTCTCCTCCACCTGCAGGGTCTTCTTTAGCAGCACCATCCCAAACTTCCCTGCAGATCAGAACATCATTGGTTAGGCTGTGGTACTAACAGTGTGGGGTGGGGTCATGTTGTCCCACTCACCTTTCTCCAGTTTGAGGAAGTTCATGAGTCTGGGGATGAGTGTGGTGTCCAGCGGCTCCTCCAGCACCTTCCCCTCCGCGGTTATCCTCCTCACCTTACCCCCCATCTCCCCCTCCTGGTGGAAGATCACAATCTGATGGACGTGTCTCTCTGCCAGCTCGCAGTACACGTCGGGCTTCAGGAGGGACATCATGAGCCGGTAGTACCCGTCCGCCTCGTGAGGCGCAGAGATCACCAGGACCCGGTTCTTCCCTGCAAAACTGGCCAGCAGGTTTGGTGACCCGGCGCTGCTGGGCACCCTGATCCCGGCTCTGGCTCCTGGGGTGCGGGAGTCCTCCTCCAGCAGGGAGTTCGAGCGCCGAGGCAAGCCGAGTTGGCCCCCACCTCCTCTCCGTGGTAATCCGGACCCCCCAGCTCTCTTGCTGTGCAAAGTCACCCCCCGAGCAGGAACTGAAACACCCTCTTCAGCTTGAATATTAATCCCAGTTTTAGAAACGACCGAGCCAGATGTTGGGCTCGTGCGCGCAGCGAGCTGGACCCGTCCCGTCCTGGCCCGGTGGCGCAGCGGTACCCGCTTCAGCTGGGTCTGTCTGTCGGCTTCGGTCCAGGTGAAGAAATAAATAAGAGCTACACTGAGACAAACACACGCCTTCATGGTGAACACCTAAAGCCGACCCGATGAAGATCCAGTCCGGATCCGCTGCGTCTTCACAGCTTTTGGTGTCCAACGAGTCCAGATGGAAGCAGACTGGTCTCAGAGCAGCATGCTGGGAGGAACCACCTCACGCTGGTTCCAACAACTCGACAGAGCTGCGGGGAAGAGCTTACATCCAGCTGCAGTCAGTTCAGGAATGACAAACATTCACAGGGAACAAAAAAAAAACACAAGAAAAGTTTCTCCTGCTCCAAAACAAACAGCTCCGACACTTTTTATTACCTTTCCGCTAATTGTCGGGCATTATTTGTGGAGAGAGAAATGTGCGCAGAGAGGACAGAAGAATTCAGTGTGAAGCTCCAGGGGCTGCACCGGAAAACTGCTCAGCCTTTCCTGATCCAACCCCCCCAAAAAAACTCCTCCCTGCCAAATGTGAGCTTTGGAGACGTTCCCATGTCCACCCAAACCTCAGCCTCCATGTCAGACCTGCAGTGACTCTGCTCATTTTAAGGACAGCACGTTTTAGTTTTAACTATTGAAGCTAAATATCTTGTGAACCACTGGATGTATTTTATTTAAACTCTCATAAAGAAATCAGTACATTTACAACTATTTACCTTTTGAAGTGAACCCAGTTCAAGATGGCCACCACAGCCATGTGACCTTAAAACACACAAAAATGGCTACAACTCAGTTTGACTGATATTTAGCTAACATTTTGTGTAGACACACAGAATGCACATCACTTTGCTTAAAACTTTGACATCAACTGTTGGCATGTACTGTTTGATTAATTTCTCATGAACATTTTAACCATTGCTAACTGAAATTAGAAAACACTAAAATGTCTATAACTTGGTCGGTTTAACAGATGCTGAGCTGTGGTTTGATGTGGCAGCAGCTGAGAGGAACACACAAACTCAGAGCACAGATCTTGCAGGAGACTGCACAAATCATTTACAATGTTCGGTCATGACCTCTCATCAAAAGTTCAACCATTAAAGGGTGGCATGCAGTCCTTCAAGGTAGAGATGCCATTTCTAACCCGAACCTGGAGCCCAATCCGGCCCAACCTGGATTAGGGCGGGTCCAGGCCATGTTAACGTGCTTAATCTGCGGGCCGGGCTGGTGTCAGACTTTTAATTGCATCAACGGACGCGTGCGGCTGACGGTCCAATTATATGGCAACACATGGCTTGCCATACTGTCACCAGCCGCACGCGGCTATTTGACTGCGCACTGACCGGCCTTGAAAGAGGTTTAAAAAAAGTTCAGTTAAGCGTCAGATGGGACTATTCTGCTAGGCAGTGATCCATCAAAGCCCAAACGGACGTTCATTCAGCCGCTGCACTCAGCAGACACGCGCAGCTGACGACCCAAACAGGTGAGATCCCAAAATATCTGACATGTCAGAGCAGGGTCCATGTCTGAATAATGCAGAATGCAAGCAGAAGCAGAGATTTCATGCACTTTGATGGCCATGAAAGGACAAACACCCCCTCAGCTCCGATCTTCTGCCCCCTTAGCCGCATGTGTCTGATGACTGTTTATAACTAAAGCAGTCCAATAATTCTCAGTCGGGTCATCTGGACAGTTTCTTTTTTATAGAGATTTTCAGTCTGTATTTGGAGGGCTTCATCAGTCAGATGGTACCTGGATAATTGAGCATGAACTTCATTGCCTTGAACCACTTTGACTGTGGCTGCCTGCCTGGGAGGAGTCGACCAGGGACAGGACGGCCCCCAGAAACATCTTAGCTCCAGCAAACTGGTTGATCCACTTAAGGAGCTTACTGCTTGGTGAGGAAACAGTTTACTGGAACTCCTCTGACTGATGAAGCCCTCTGGATAGAACTAAACTAGAAATAAACTGTCCAGATGACCCGAATGAGAATTGCTGGATTTGGTACCTGGATGATTGAGCATGAACTTTATTGTTATATAAGCAGTCAAAACTTAATAAAAAATGTCAGGGGAGGTTTCGGGTTCGGACCTGTAATTACTGTTAATTTGTCGGGTCGGGTGGGGTTCGAAAATGATATGGACTGGGGCTGGGTCGGGTTGGATTTTTTGGACTTGAAAACAACTACTTCAAGGGTTGCTAAGGTTTGTAAAAAAAAAAGTGAACCATGTCTACATCGCATCCACTCTTACAGCAAATGCATACTCTGTGTCTGACTGCAGCTGCTGGCTCAGAGGAACTGCCTGCGTTCTTGGATTTTATTATACTCCATCCATGATCTTTACCCAGTTCTTCCTTTTTGAGTCATGGGGGTCATTGGTGCCCACAGCAGTCACCCTGGACAGATTGCATACCAGTCAGCCTAACAAGCATGTTTTTGGTATGTGGGAGGAAGCCAGAGTACCCAGAGAGAACCTATGCAGCATGGAGAGAACATGCAGACTCCACCCAGAATGGGCCCCCACAGCAAGGATTCAATCCAGCAACCTTCTTGCTGAGAGGTGGCAATTCTACCAAATGAGTCACCATGCCGCCCTTTACTATATTAATTTTTGCTCATTTATTCCATTAATGGATGTTTTACACTCATCACCTGAAGACATGGTAATAATATAATTGCCATGTGCGTTTGATTGTCTGTTAGCAAAAACTCAAGAATTACTGGACTTATTTTAATAAAAGTCTTGGAACGTAATCATTCCGAGACATACAGACACAGTCGAATAGCTTCGTTTTTATTAGTAATTATATTATTTACCCAATTCAAAGTGGGTGCCACATCTAATCAAATAATTTTGGACACAAAAACATCTACAGCATAGTGTGTTTTAAAGACAACGAACTGGCATTTGGTGTGGTGGTAGCGGAGATTGATGCCCAACACATGGGCTAACCAATTGCACACAATAGACTCACTACTCCTGCTATATTGTGCACAGCTGCTCAAAACAAAATTAAATCACAATGTCTAAAATGGTTTTAAGACACAAGATCTTAAATTTTGAGAAAGGCGGCAGGATGCACAGCTTCCAAAAATATGAAGGCCTTCATTTTACAGCAATTTTAGTACTGCCTTTTGTTTGGCCTTGACTTTTGTTTGTGGTTAAACGTAACACAGCTGGTAATTAGACCATCAAGGTCACCTTTAAGGCTTAAAAAAAGAAGTAAAATTGTTCCAAACACTCTTGGATGTTCAGTTTTAAACCAGCTGCTTGAACCACAGCTCGTCCGTCTGTTTCAGCTCAAATACCTTTACCGCCCTACCGTTCTTTTCAGTTTTCCCCTGAAACAACAACAAGAGGAAAACTGTCAGCTGTTTATTCACACAGTTATTTTGAGGATGAAATGAGCTCACAGCATTTAAGAAAAACAAAACCATAAACAAAAGGAAATCCCTACCTTTCTTTGAAAAAGCGCACATCATCTGCCACCATGCCAAACTTTTAAACTCCTTTCGTAAATGGTAAATGGACTGTACTTATATAGCACCTTTCTATCTTATTTCAAGATACGCAAAGCGCTTTACACTACAATCTGTGCCCTCATACAGCACTCTACATCTCTACAAAAGATAATTGAACAAATCATACTAATGAGACTAATCAGTGCTTTAGATCACATTCATACACTGATGGGACACACATCAGAGGCTATGAGGGGTTCAGTGTCTTGCCCAGGGACACTTCGACATGTGACTGCTGGTGGATTCGAACCCCCAACTCTCACATTAGAGGACAACTGCTCTAACCAACTGCGCCACTCTACTGTCTCCATAGATAATTTAATTGATTAAATTTGACCAAAACAGCTATAACTATTATGTTTATTTTCATTCAACCTTTATTTTGACTATTATGACTATTTGACTTAACTATTATGTTCATCAGTCCATGTGTCTCTGTTTGAGCACTTTGGATTATCCATGCCACGTTTGGCCTCATTATTGCCTTTGTGACTCTCCAAACCTCGTAGAGTTAACCTTCAATTTTTGAAAGTTTTGCTGCCATGTCAGTCTATTGTTAATTTTTATTTTTTACTTAAACTCCTTGTGTCAAGATTACATTCCTGGATTCAAAACTTCTTGATACCATGACGGTAACTCCATCTCTTCTCATCACGAAAGGGGCGGCTGTGGCTGAGTGGTTAGAGCTGCCGCCTCTCAGTGAGCAGGTCGCCCTGGTTAAAATCCCGTCTGGGGACCTTTCTGGGTGGAGTTTGCATGTTCTCTCCGTGCATGCGTGGGTTTTTTCTAAGTACTCCAGTTTCCTTTGTAGTGAGAGAGACGAGCGATGGATTTAGCTCAGGGGTGCTCTCTTACATTTTATAATATCTGGACTAGTTCAAGTACATGATATTATACTTAATTTAAACGGATTCTTTCATTTTTCTGGACTAAGTGATCTTGTGCTTAGAAGTACTGTGTCGGAGATGGTCTAATCAGTGACATGAGACGTTAATTTTCTTTGACCCATCAAAATGAATGTGGGCGGGGCTTAACCCCGGTGCAATGAGCTGTTGCTGAGAACCTAGGAAGAAACTGTGCGTGAGTATTATGATAAAACTTTGGTAAGTCCGTATTTATTTAAATAAAAACTGTTTAATTAAATATAAGATAATTAAGAAAGTCCTAAATATTACTAATAAACTTTTTTCATTCGATCAAACAAACTGGACGAAGAGACTTTGCAGAGCCTGGAATCGTTTGTTGACGAGTGTTTCGACAGCTTAGTCATGGGTAAGCCTAAAGAAACATCCGGTGCTGCTAGCAATTCAGCTAACATCCCCAATGCTAAGCGGCATCGACAGGGCAGCTCAGACAGCGTTACGGCACCGTCTCCTGACGATTCAGGTTTAAAGGAGATATTGGAGTCAATTGACCAGAAGCTAACTAGCTTGGACGCCCGACTAGCATTAGTGGAGATGCTACATAAAGAGTTTCAAGGCCTCAGGGAGTCTTTAGAATTCAGTCAACAACAGGTAGCATCACTTGCTAGTGAAAATCAGGAGCTGAGAGGAACGGTAAAACAACTCACCGAGGAGATGACGCTGCTATCCGGGGATAATAAAAAAATCAAAGAATCGATCCTGGATATCCAAGCCCGGAGCATGCGGGACAACCTCGTCTTCTCGGGAATACCGGAGCGAGCGGACGAGGTCCCTGAGGCCTCCGTCCGTGACTTCATTCAGAACCAGCTGAAGTTGCCGAGTGACGCGGTTAATTCCATCACTTTTCACCGGGTCCACCGC